TAAGGTGGCAACAGAAATTTCACTACCAGAGGGAAAAAAAAAACCAACAAACCACCCTTAATCTACTTTTATGTCTCTCACCAAAGCTTAGCTGATCTAAAATACTCCAAAATTCCCTAAAAATTCTTTCATGCTTAGGAGTTCCACACTACAGATAATAAGGTCCTAATATTCATGCTGGCTGACGCAGCTCCCATTAAAGCCAAACAGCACTGGTGAGTCACTGCAAACTGTAACAGTGAACCTATGCTGTCTCATTTTCTTTGTGTGGAAGTGAAAAGAAAAGGACAGAAAAAAGACCCAAACTATCAAAACATCACACAGTTCTAGAAACTTAAGTTTCTATTGCTAGTTTTTAGGTACCAGATAAATAAAGAGGACACGGGCTTAGCACTAATCTGTTATCTCTTTCACAATTCATGCTTAAGAGAATTTGTTCCTCTTGCAGAGTTTTTGTTGGAAAGCAAAAAAGCATAATACTGGAGCTTGCTTTAGCCTTGTAAAATATTTACCTTTCTACTTTAAATACTTCTGGCTATAAGAAAAGAGAAATAGACAAGCTACTTAGCTACTCTGAAGTACTAGGTTTCCAACAAGTCAATAAAAACAACTTCAGCAATTCAGCAGAGACTTGCTGTCTCACAGTAATACTTGGGGAATACACTGCAAAACTACCAAATTTTACTAATTAGCAAAAACAAAAAAATAAATATTGAAAACAATGCAATCTATCACAAAGTGTACTTTTTATTTAACTAGAATAGCAGTATTTTAAGTGGGTCAATCTTGTTTTAGTATATTTACACAGTGCAACATTTCTGTTACATAATAACTTAGAAATTATTTGATCCATTTTGGCATACAACACTGATACAGCCATTCTGTTTAATTGGTATTAGAAACTAGTTCTTAATTTCCATTTTCCCTCCCTTTGCCTTTCTTGCATAGAAAATAGCACACCTCTTCAGTACTTCTTTTTAACCTTTAAATTCAAATGCATGCTGCCCATATCATACATACTAAGAACAGTCTTACTAATTTCAATATACATTATCTAGTGAAGCTCATTACCATAGTAGCTTATTGCATAAGCACTAGCATGAAGATATATATTAGCAAATGTATTTTCAATACATATTCCCCTCTGTCATGCATATTTTTGTACGCTTTTGTGTACATATCTTTACATTCATATGTATCTGTATGAGAGAAACTAAGTTGAAAAGATTCAGGCTGACACTGTTCACTGATTTGGGCTGTCCAGTGTAATACACCCAGGACCTGATTTTTCAGAGTACTGTGCTCCATACTCTCTATGTTCAAGGCACAACTTCAATTAAATTCAGTACCATTGACAGTGCTTAGCATTTAGTGCAATGATGCTCTCAAATGTAAATTCTTATCAGAACACATATGTAGGATAATTACATCGCTTAGGTCAGCACCTAATTTAGATGTCTGATTTGTGAGGTTAATCCCACAAGGCTCTGCCACTGTCAACAGAAAAAAGTAGCCCCACTCTCTTCAGCTATGCATACCTATTTCCTCCCATGTGCTGGCATTCACATTTATAAGGCTGCTCCTTGAGTTTGATTCACAAGTTCATTTATCTGACAAAAAAAAACAAAATGTTTAGGAGTTTCTTTTGCATGTTAAATTTGCAGCTGGATCAGCCGATCTGTCTGACCATATATGCACACAATCAGCAGTAGCAATACTACAAGTGCACAGGCATTACTCTGAAACTGGCCAGAGCAGATTGGGATAATCTACTTAGACAGCAACTTACGGCACCTATGTAATTAAATCAGAGGGCTGGCACATAATCACGGCCATATTATGTCAAAAAAAGCCACATGGAAAGAAAATTCCATCAAATTACTTTTAAGCTTACATAAAAATTCTGTAACAGGCAAGGACAGAACCCGTATTTCCTGGGCATCAGTCAAATTACCTTTAATTTTCTTTCTATAGTTCCTGCTTTATTCACCCAGTACATATTCCAAATTCTGTAACAAATGAGGAAGAGAACCTACACAAAACAACCTAACTCATCACACAACTACAGGGTTTTCTCAGTACAGTGAACGAAGCAGTACATAGTAAATGGTATTTCACCATGTATAGACAAAGAGGGAAAATTCAATAATTGAATTTGAAACCAGAAAGGTTTTTTTCTATAGGTTTCTGTATCTGATTATTGAGACCTTAAAAAATCCAAACTCCAGAAATTTCATCTACAGTGGACTACATTTAGGACACATTACCATCTCAGTTACAGAAATTGATTTTTAAATAAGTCATCATTTTCAAAAATCTTTTACAGCTTGTTACATTAAATACATAAACATGCAGCTTAGAACCAGACAAAGGCCATTAAAACTGATAGACGTTCAATTGACTGTAGATCAGGCCCCATGCATATATAGAAGTATTTTCAAAACACTGTATGAATGCAGACTTTTTTATTATTATTATTATTGCTTCAACAAGCAAGAAGTTTAAAGAAAGATATACGGGGTATACTAACAGTACAGAAAACTAGATTGATTTGCCTCAGTGACTTCTCTGATTATAAGAAACAAATCTGCAGACACAGAAGGAAATTAATGCTTGCCTGCCTTTTTAAATTAGCACTCTGCTACATATGATCATTCTGTTGCTGCCATGTTTTTCACACTTGTGGTATCAAGCAATCCTATGAAAACTCCTAGGGGAAAAAACCAGAAACTTATGGTGACTTATCTTGTGAAACAGCAAAACAGTTAATGTTTAACAGTGATGTATAGAACAACTGTTCTTTTTTTAATTTTTGTATAATATATATTGAAGATATCACGTTTTGTTTCACAACACAATCACTTTTTAAAACTGAGGGTTGTCCTTGTTTATGAGGTAAAAACTGTATCCTGTAGAGGTGTTTATTAGACCTGTGTACATATACAGCTACTAGCAAATTAAGTGAAAGCATGCTCAAGTTTTTCTTACGATACAAAAATGTCAAATAAGAAGGGCAGAATTTCACAATTAAAAAAAAATTCACAGAAAATATGTCAAAAACCTGAAAAACACCCATAGAAACATGCACCAAAGTGAACAAGTGGAAATATTACAAGCATGAGAAAATTGTAACAAGCACTCAAATAAGTTGCAAATGAGATTCTAGTCTTACTGTAGTTCCCAACACTGACATCTACAATCAATAGATTGGAATATATATAAAACTGCTAGCAGTTTTTGCATTAATTTTGTTACAGAAAGCAACACGGACCAGAATTGTGTCTATAAAGATATGGGGTGGTAAAGTAAAAAGACAGCTGTAAGGTCATGAAAATAAAATAAAATTTTGCACTTTGTGGCTGAATTGATTCCTCATAATATCATACTAAAATTACATGCTATCAAAACACAGCAGTTTTAAGTTCTGTGGAGAATAATGAATGGCATTTTAACACTGAACATAGCTGTAAATCACATTATGTACTCATCATCTTAAGGTAATGGGAGACACCTACAAATATCAAAGTTAAACTATCAACTAACACAAAATAAAAAGCAGACCAAAGGTTCATTACCTACCATCCTACACCAACTGTGACCAAGACTACCTGCAAGCAATGAGGGTCATTACTAGAAGTAATTGTCAATCAATCAGAAATCAGTCTCAAAAATATTCTGAAATGACTGACCTTGCTGACATATTCACGCTAGTCATTTTTCCTTGAAGTTCCAGATCATGTACTCTTGCAATGAACTTTGTAAAGTTTCCAGCTAAGATGCAGAAAAACACCTAAAATGGAAGCCTAAAGACATCTTTCACAAGAAAAAGCAAGTAAGCAAAACCTAAAAAATATAAAAATAATTTATAAGTTCCTAAGATTTAAAGCAAATTTCCTAGATCAAGCACCTGAAAGCTAAAGGTTAGGATTCCAGTAGTCTTTATATAGTTCCTGGATGCAATTAACCTGAAATTAAAGGGAATATTTGTATTTCACAGTCAAATGCACTATTAATAACCTCTTCATAGCCTCTAGTTTTTATGTTCTTTATAAAAGGACATGCTTATCTTCCAAGTTATTTGATAGAAGCTATTAAAAATGCACAGCACAGAAATTAAGGCTTTCAACTTCCTTACTGATATTTAAATATCAGTAATAGTATCGTTTGCTTAAGTGTGAGACCTAACAATGTCTGATGTAAAGCCAAGCACAAACTTGAATGGCTTTCTTGTCTAATTTAGCAGAAGCCGTTTCTGTGTGCAGGTGCAAGGCCGCAGGCCAGGAACACTCTGGCCCTGTCAGGAGCCCCCGCTCCACTACTCCAGCATTTATCGGTTTTTTACACCGGAAGAAACTATCATTTCAAAGTGACTTTAGAGAAGGACCACGAGAACTTTACAGCCGTAACTCCTCGGAGCTGACGCGCCCCGCCCCGCCGCCCGTGGGCCTTATC